CCAAGGAAAATGGGATGTCAATATGTTAGCTGACTACTGTTGGATGCTCAATCGAGAAACCAGAGAAGGAAATTGGAAATGAGTTCGGAGAAGCATCAAAGAGAAGAAGAAAAGGTGTCATAAGAAAATATAATATATTTAGTTCATTGTAATAAATAAGAGTTTTTATCAAATATTTGTTTTTATTTTGCAAAAAACCTATACGCGATGGGATGTTACAGAAATCATTTTTAGAATCTCCGATGTTTAAAACATATAATTCAGCAAAAATATCCCATGCAGCTGGAAAAAATTTTTTTTTGCAGACCTGTGTTATTTATACAACCACTCAAAAAACTTGATACAAAAGCTACATAAAACCAAATAACCAGCAAAAAACTTGGGAACTGCTAACATTTTTGCCTGTGTCGAACAAGAATCCTCAAGTGGTTTTTGTTTGGCCCTAGTATTTGATTTTTTATAGCTTTGTACAATAATTATTATTAACATGTGCTATAAGAGATTAGTTTTATTACTGAAATAAAATTGATTTAAATTTTTTGTTATTTTTTTTGTCATGTATTTATATATTTAAAAAATTTTTTTAAAACATTAAAAATTATACCAAGATTTAATCCAATCAAATCCTGGGAATGTGCCAATATATTTCTGCATTTCCTTGATGATAAATGCCACGGGCATTCCATGAATATGACCTAATAATTAAAATTAAAAGTAACAATATAAGTACTTTGTTTATAAAACTATATCTTTTAAAATAAATTCTTATCTTCTAATATGTGTAAAAGACACAATAATTGTAGATTATGATAAATGTATCAAGATTATGGTACAATCTTGATACATTTATCATAATCTTAAAAATATGAATATTTTGTTAGCTTAATGTTAATTTAATTAATTAAACATAGAAAATAGTTGGTGTAATGCAAGATACAGTAGAGCATCATTTATCTGAATCAACGAGGGACTCGGGTTGTTCGGATAACTTATTTTTCGGATAACTGATTATGTACGAAAAAATATATTAACCTATCCCATGTTGAAATTTTTCTACNTTTTAGAATCTCCGATGTTTAAAACATATAATTCAGCAAAAATATCCCATGCAGCTGGAAAAATTTTTTTTTTGCAGACCTGTGTTATTTATACAACCACTCAAAAAAACTTGATACAAAAGCTACATAAAACCAAATAACCAGCAAAAAACTTGGGAACTGCTAACATTTTTGCCTGTGTCGAACAGGAATCCTCAAGTGGTTTTTGTTTGGCCCTAGTATTTGATTTTTTATAGCTTTGTACAATAATTATTATTAACATGTGCTATAAGAGATTAGTTTTATTACTGAAATAAAATTGATTTAAATTTTTTGTTATTTTTTTTGTCATGTATTCCAGATCATCTTTATCTTCTGCCATTATCACCTGATCATCTGCAAATTGCAATGTAAACATTGGTTTATCATTAATATCTATTCCCATGTTACTGTATATCATTTCTTTTTTCATATTTTCAATACTCCTTCTATGTAGATTTTAAATAGAGTTGTTGAGATACAGCACCTGTCTTAGTCCTTTTGATACCGTAAATCCTTCTGATATTTTTTTTTTCCAATTTTTATTTTCATTATAGATTCTTTATACAATTCTTTAACTGCTTTAATAAATGTGTTGTTAAATATTTATCTCTTTTTAATGTTTCCCATAATTTTGATTTTGGAACATTATCATATGCTTTCATTAAGTCTGTAAACAACAGATGAGTTTCCTGCCCTGTTGCTAATCTTTTTTTCCATAATTTGTTTTATACAGAAAATATTGTCCATACATGATCTTCCTTTTCTGAATCCATTCTGCTCTTCTTTTTTTTTTGTTTGATATTCTTCATCGATTAGATCTCTTATTATTCATCCATATAATCTACTAAATGTTGTTGTTAATGTAATTCCTTGATAGTTCTCACATTTTTGTTTGTCTTTTTTTTTTATAGATAGATGTCAAAAAGCCAATTTTCCATTCTTTTGGGATGTCTTNACATACATACATGTGAAAGAAAAGGCTGTACTCAAAGGTGTGGCTTTAAAAGATAAGAAAGATGGGTGAAGGAAGGAAGGAAGGAGAGTGATTTGAGGAAAAGTTATGCTAAAACACATACACCAACAAAAAAAATATTGGAGTACCCCAAGATATAACCAAAGATTGCAGTGCCACAGCACTATCAAAAATTTAAATTTGCCAACTGGAATGCTTTCGGACTGACGTTTCGGATAACTGGCTTTCAGATAAACGATGCTCTACTGTAGTGTTAAATAATATGCATTAAAAATCTTTAGACAATCATTTTTTAAAAAAGGATTCAAATATAGAATTCTAAACTTTGATATGTAAATTAGTGTTGCAACAAATAGTATATTCGGCCTCAGACCGAATACTTGGCCAGGAGTGTGGCCAAACAGCCGAATATTCGGCCAAACTATTCAACTTGATTAACGCACGTACAAAAATTGGCGCACAAACCGCATTATGGTAAGGACCCTGATCTCTATTGGCCCGCTGTCACTACGCTTCGCCAATCACGTTAATTCTTGACGTTGTAGTGGACAGACATGAGTGTCATGGCAGTATGTGATAAGTGATAAGTGATAATAACAATGAAATGACCTACACGTGTAAATAACGGAAAAAGAACAGAGAAGGACTGCAAAGTGAAAATGTGAAAATAAACATGAAATTGAGTTGATAACATAATTGAACAAGTCGAGGCAGATTATTGGTGTGAAATTTGCGGCCATCAATGCCAAACAATTGTTGTCATAGACTTCGGAAAGCTAAATGCTTGTAATGAAAGACACTTAGCGTGCACGGGCAAAAGCCTGGGGCCATTCGGGCTACCAAGCTGTCTCAAATCTGTGAAATCATAACTGTGACTTATACCTATGTCCTATCTGTCTCTTTTCTCTGTTATCACCATGCTATGAGTCACGTAATTGTAAAATTGGAAATCTACGACAGAAAAGTGACGAATCAAAAGTATCGTGAGCGCGTATCGTGATGTATGCATACATGAACTAAAGCAATAGAGGAAAGAAAAAGTAAAGAGAGCTTAAAAAGAAGGATAGGCAGGGTCAGACCTCAGACGTGCGACGATTCTCGAACAAATAGGTATATACACCTGCTGATCTTTGTAATTATAAATTGTGAATACATGTGACTAATATTATTTTCTTTTTTATTTTGTGCATGTTATAAGTTATAAATAAATATAAAGAAACAACACTAATCTGATAACATTAAATCTAAAGAAAAATTGAAAACTTGCCAAGTGTTGATAAAGAAGGTCACTTCATTGTGCTAGTATACAAAAATTAAATCTAAATACCAAAATGATTAATTTACTGTGTTTTTGTTATTTCTTACTTCTGTTTTTAGGTATTCGGCCAAATAGTAACCGAATATTCGTTACATCACTAATGTAAATTTTAAAAACAAAGACAACTAATATGATTTTATAATAAATCTATCCAATATCTTTGAAACTTCACACTGTTAACACTTTTTTACTAGTATTGATCTTTTAACTTCAAATTATTCAATTATCAGCACCATGAAATTGAGGTTATTAGATACTTATATTGTTTATTTGGATTTGTTTCAGGCTTTTCATTTAATGATTCCTAATACCATCTAATGATTCCTAAAAATCTCAATAGAGAACAAATAGAAATATTTCATCATTTGAAACAAATAATGTTCCATACATACAATAATGCATTAAAGATTGTGGAATACACACTGTCCTTACGTTGTACTAATGCTGCAACTGAACACGTTTTTCTACCATAAGTAAAGTGTGGACATCTGATAAATCACAATTAAGTGTTGCAACTTTGAAAGCCATATTATGTGGGAAATATAATTTAAAAAATTCTTGGAAAACATTTCATGACATTTTAAATGACAGCAATCTACTAAAAAAAATTCACTCAACAGAGAAATATGCAAAAGAATAAAGAGTTTTTAAAGATTCATAATAGTATATGTCGTATTATTTTGCAGTCGTAGTCAAAAGGTCGAGTGTAGGTTGAACAAGACAAAGAAAATTGGAGACCATAAAATAACACGTCCGTTCACTTTCGGGTCCTCACTCGAACTCCCTTTATTTTATTGGTGCTGTTAACCTCATTCCAAAAGGGACGANATCAAAAAATGCAAAAATTTTATTGTAATAAAATTTTGTTGCTCTAGAACAATTTTTTTTCAACAAGACAACCACTGCCTCCCCTGTCAATTTTGTCCTGCTTCATCAATGTTAAAATCTTGTCACCTTATATTAAAAGGTTATAATTTAACCTTTTAATATAAGTTGACAAGATTTTATATTGAAAATATAATTTAAAATGAATATTTGAATATATTTTGAATTACAAAACGACTTCTAATAACTTAACACGGTGTTGAGTAATAACAATCCACGAAACCTTTTTATAACAGTGTTGTCTCTGTAACAAACTTCACAAAGGCCAAACTTCATCTAGAGGCCTGGGAGATTTATAAAGCCAACATTGGGGGCACCTGCATCAACTTTAAAGACAGTGAAATGATTGCGCAGGTGTGGAGGTACTTGTTCGAAGAATTCGAACTGGGACAAGCAGAGGGGTGAAACGCAATATGCGCAATTATTTACATCTCGGGCGCCATCATTCCAATGGTCAAGAGGAGACACCGTTCAGTCACCACCTGAAGCAGACCTCGGTGGAGGTCGAAAATGTTTATGAAGTTTGTTATGGAGACAACACTGTTATAAAAAGGTTTAGTGGATTGTTATTTTGAATTATAAAAACAAGTGTAATCATACTAAATAACATTTCAAAATTAAATTACAGATAGATATAAAATTAATTTTCTAAATTTACCAGAATAACTTGTTTCTGGTGTATTTATATCTGCATGTGCATCCACAAATAAGACACCAATATTTGGTTTGGAATGATGATGTCCAAGTATACTTCCCACAGCTAAGCTATGATCTCCTCCAAGAGTTAGACATTTCTTACCATCCTGTATAATTTTATTGACTTTTTCAGCTAACTAAAAATATTAAAAAATAATAAGCAAAAATTTAAAAATTGTAATTTTAAAAGTTATTTTTAGAATTAATTTTCTTTAATTTATAATCATTCTGTAATTAACTCCATGAATATTTAAGATATTTTAAAATAATTATGAAAATATTAAATGCCTGCATAAAATTTATAAATGAACATTTGATGACAACTGTTTTAACATATCTCTCTCTCCTTCTCAGCAATGTTAATTATAATATATGAACCAACCTGAATTATACTTGACGACTTTTTTCTCTTTAATCAAACGTTTTCAGCCTATTTGGATAGGCCATCCTCAGGTTTTCCTTTATCGTTCCAAAATGGAACCATTCGTTCGAATTTTATTTTGATTTGAATTTTTGAAATAAGTTAACAACTTTTTGTATATTACATAAATAAACAGTGTCTACTGTAAACTGAAATCAAATGCAATTGTATGTGAAAAGTTGTTTGTATTAGATTTACCTTAATTTCTTATCAATAAGTAATTCATAAGATAATGATTCCATTTCCTTTAAAATCTGTTTCATAAATTTTAATTTTACATATACAAATTAGTTGGTTGTTAGATTAAATCAGTGATTCTCAACCACTGTGCCACAGCACTTTAGTGTGCTGCCACTGTGAAAACCCATACATAAGCAATGTCAGACAAGTAGTTCAATCGGTTCTACCTTCCTAG